AGGGATGTCGATAGACGAATTCTGGAAACCTTATGTTTAAGGCTGGGTTTATGTTTACCTTATTTGTATCTTTAAGAACAAAAGGGGAGAGTTGACTAATTGGCAGTTTGACTGGGGCGGTCGTCTTTAATAGAGTAGCAAAGTACATCCAAATTTATTCACAAATTAATAAGTATATATTAAATAAAATATAAATATAATTGTATTTATTAAATTAATCAAATCAAGGTTAATACTCCCTGATCTATACTTACACTCCTCCGGCTCGGTGTTAATGCGGATTTTTCTCTTTAGCATCCTCCAGGGGCGGAGTATCTCCCTTCGGGCGTGGTAATTTCCATTAGTATATTAATATATATTTTAATTTTTCACAAATAATCTATCTTCTTTATTAAATCTAATAAATTTAATTGAAGAGGTGAGGTAAATAATTAAGTAATTAAAAAGAAGCTTAGTCTTTTAGGAAAATCTATTTTTAGATTTCTCTCCCATTCTTCTTCTACTAATATAATTATTAATAATTTTTATGTTAGTTGCCAGTCCCGATTGCTTAGCTTTCGGAGTCTGGAAGAAGAGGTATAATTTATTTTATATTTATATTTATTGTGAATATAAAATAGGGGGGAGCGAGGCCTAGAAAATAAAAATATATTTAATTTATTCGCTAAAAATTTACGGATAAAAATTATAACAAACTTATAATTATAATCTCCTTAACTTAAAAGTGCCGCTGCGAAGCATCGGCTGCTTTCAGAGTGGAGAAATTATATCTAACAAATTAAATTAATATGTTGAACCCGACCTCCTATTAAGGAATGAGGGTAAAAATATTCAACGAAAAAGTATTAAAGGTATGGCTAGACATTGAATGGAGATCAATCGACCAGTGAAGGGTTGCGCAGAGTTCAATGGCGGAAAGCATGCTTAACTGAAAGACCTATAAGTCGCACAGATACGTAAGTAGGGCATAGTGACCCCTCGCTATAGTATGGAATAGACGGGGATCAATAAATAAAAGTTACGCTAGGGATAACAGGCTGATCACCGACGAGAGTACACATTGTCTCGGTGGTTTGGCACCTCGATGTCGACTCATCCTATCCTCCGGGGGAAGAAGCTTGGAAGGGTTCGGCTGTTCGCCGATTAAAAGGGTACGCGAGTTGGGTTTAATACGACGTGAGTCAGTATGGTCCCTATCTTCTGAAGAGATAAGTAGTAAACGAGGGCAGACCTTCTAGTACGAAAGGATCAATAGGCTGTGTTTCTCTAGTGTACCAATTGTTTTTACTTTATTATAAGGAACTCTGATCATTAGATCCAGGGGAAAGTCCTTTTTTTACTAATTTTTTTTGTTGTCTAATTCTATTATATTTATATTTTAGAATAAAAAAAAAAATAAATTTAAAAAGGTAATAATCTAGGAACGCATAGTTGGGTAGCCACAAACATAATAGATAAGTGCTGAATGTATATCAAGCAAGAATCTAACCCTCAGATACTAAGCAACGGTGCACTCTTTTTTATATACTATTTTTACTCTAACAAATTTATTGTAAATTTTTAAAATTATTTAATTAATATCTATCTTTAATACAACAATTAGAATTAATTATTAATTTAAAGATCTTTTTTTTTTTAAAAAAGGTAGTGAATCAAGTAAAAATTTATATTACTCTGGGCCTGCGTATTGCACGGTCCGGGAGTGACGGTTGAGGAGAGCTTCTGATCTATTATAGATTAGTGTTTCTCCTCTGCGGCGTGTTTCAACGCAGCCTCGCTTATAAAGAGTATATTACCGTAAATTAAGAAATAGAACATTTCTAGTTAGGCTGCAAATGAGCTTACTGTAAAGTATTTAGTTTAGCAGTACTAATTTATAAATAAACTTGATGTTAAAGGTTGTCCCTATAAAAATAAAAAAATCAAAAATAAAAAAATTAAAAAAACCAATGTCTCCCTCCCTGCAAACCTTTGGCTCCTTCTAATTTTCTAGCTTTTTAGTCTGCGGAGCACTAGGTGTTTCCTGCTCCGCTGCCCCTTCTAAAGGGTCACAAGGCCACAAGGGAGGAGTTTTCCGGTTTTCGGGTTTTTGGCTGCTTCGCTGCCTTTGGCTCTAAAGGAGCCTTTTATCATTCCATTCTTCTATCCTTCTAGCCTGTTTGCTACACTAGAAAAATAGAGATTACCCTAGACTTTAATATTTATATTTTTCTCGTTTTAGTAAAAAAAAAATATCATTTAAAAAAATGTTATTATTAAAAGAGATAATAAATATTGCAGTTTTGCATATAAAATATAACAATTATATTATTATAATGATTGTTTAATTAAATATAGAAGAATTTAATTTTGGTTCTGATTGAACGTTTTTCAGTAGTTTTAAGACATGCAAATCATTGTTTATAAAAAGTTAATATTTATTTAAATAAAAATATTACTAATAAAAAACAAGGTGTAAAGGTGAGTTATATAGATTAGATACCTTATAGTCTTCTTAATTAGAAGATAATTTATTTCTTTAATGATTGTTGATAATTGTATTACTTTAATTTGTTTCATTTATCATTATCATTATAGATACTTTAATTTTATATTGTCAATAAAGTTTTATTTAAGGTAAGACAACCTTAAATATTTAATAATTTTATTGATAATATTTTAATTATTAGGATAAGTAAAGATAATTAGCTATTTATTTTAAAAAGGAAATTTTCTGCTATAAGATTCGATCTATTCTGTTTAAAGGTAGTTGGTAGAGTAAAAGCCTACCAAGCCTACGATCAGAAGCCATGTTTGATAGAGCAAATGGCCACATTGGGAATGAAATGTCCCTAGTAGTGTACACTACCAGCAGTCAAGAATATTAGTCAATGCTCGAAAGAGTGAACTAGCTAACTGAAATCGCATTTTTCGTGTCATACGGTGAAATGTGATAATGTAAGGGAAAAAAATGATGTTACCTTACTATAAGTGTTGTCCAAAACTGGTGCCAGAAGACTCGGTAAGGCCAGAGACGCGAACGTTAGTCACATTAACCAGGCGTAAAGGGTTTGTAGGCAGCTTAGGTAGTTTTATTTTTATTATAGCTATTAAAAAAAAATAAAATTAATTTAAGATAGAATCATATTGAGGTTAAGCCGAATAATACTTAGAGTAGGGACTAAATCCTAAAATACTAGGTGGAATACTAATGGTGAAAGCTTTTTATCTAATATTGATCGACGCTGAGAAACGAAGGTGAGAATAGGAAATAGGATTAGAGACCCAGATACCTCTCACTGTCAACGATGAATGGTGGATTGTTAGTTTTTTAAAACTAGTACCGATGCTAACGCGATAACCATTCCGCCTTGAGAGTACGGTTGCAAAACTGAAACCAAAAAAATTAGTCGGTCTCGAAGCAAACGAAGTGAAGCATGTTATTTAATACGAGAGTACGCGTAAAACCTTACCAGTTCTTGAATAGCCATATTATTTAGAAATTTATCTATTTTATTAGAATATTTTACTATAATGAATATGAGAAGTTATTTTATTTTTTTAATAACTCGTTTACAGGTGTTGCATGGCTGTCGTCAGTCCGTGTTTTGAGAAGTAAGGTTAACTCCACTAACGGACGAAATCCCTGCTGTAAATTTATACTTTACAGTTAATGAATTTTAAATATTTTCATTTGGGGCTAAGACAAGTCGTTATGGCCCTAATGAACTGGGCTATAGACGTGCCACAAGAACTTTTACAAAGTGATGCAAAAACCAGACCTTTAATTTTGTTGCAACCTGCTATAATCTTGTAGTAGGAAACTGCTTTACCAAAGCCTTTACCGGAGTCTCTAACAAGGGATGCAGCATAAAAAGCTGATTTGCTTTAGCAGTAGTGCACAAAATATATATTTTTTTAATGTAATAGGGTCTTAAGGAATAGCTAATCATTAAAGAAAGTTACTACTATTAAAATTTTATAAGACGGATTGTCGCCTGAAATTCGGCGGCATGAAGAAGGAATTTCGAGTAATCGTTGATCACTAGCGCAACGGTGAAGATTGCATTCGTGATGAACTAACTGTCTGTCACTGGGAAGGAATTCGGATAGGGGGAAAATGCTGCTTAATTATTACTTTTCAAAGATAGTAGTTTAATTTTTTATAGAATTATGTTCTATTTTTTTAAAAAAATAAACATCTTTGTTAAGCTAATTAGTATCTTTTAACCCATTTGAGTAACATCTCAAAAGTCATAGCAAGGTAGCTGTACTGGAAGGTGCTGCTGGAAAATAAAATAATTTAAACCCCTATATTTTTAGGTATTTTTCTATCCCTTTGTCTTCGAAGGGCCCAAAGGGCGCTCCGCTAAATGATTAACTTTTTGATAGCCTTATCCGCCTAGGCGCTCCGCGCTTCTAGCAAAAGGGTGGGCGTGTTTCACACGCCCCCACATACTTAAAAAAAAGCCCTTTATATTTTCTTTGTCCACCTTTATATACAATCATATTTAGGAATATATCTGATTTATATGATAGTTGGTAACTTAAAGTAGATATTAATTTTAGAGTTCCTGCTCCACCGCCCCATCTAGGGCTGCTTCGCCCACACGCCACCTCATTTATTCTGTTTAATTTATTTTAAATATGTTTTATTAATCATTGACAGTTTGGAAGAAGACTTAGCCTTTGGATATGTTAGATTAAAAGCTAAAATAGAGGTAAATGTAGATGTAGTTAGAAAGAAAAAAAAAACTTTCTTTAATAAAGTATGAGAGAGGCTTGCTGCTCTTTAGCTACTTTCTCGGGCTTCAATGCCTAACTTTATTTTTTTTTGCTTATTGTTTACTTGATTCCTTACTCCGTAGCGCCTTTGGCAGCATGCCTTCTTGTTTAGTAGGACTGCTTTGCACTACAGCGCCCTTGTTTTGTTTTTTTGGGAGGGGGGGGGGGAGATATAGTATAGTTTAGACCTTTTTTTTGATAACAACCGGTATAAAAATATAAAAATTTAAGTATAGAGGGGGTTAGCTGAGTGGTTTTAGCATCAAACTTACACTTTGAGGACAGAGTTTCGATTACTCTACTCCCTATAAAAATTTTATTATTTTATTCTACGGTCAATTTTCCCTAGACAATTAGTTTTAATATTTATTCAAGATAGCCTAGGTCAACGTAAATGCAAAGTTAAGTCTAACTAATTTTTCTTCGCTTCCCTCCTTGTTTTGTTTTTTTAAGGGGCAGATAGGAGAGGTGCCTTGCTTTAAGGCATCATAGAGGAGGGTGATTAAAAAAAAAATACTGCAGCTGGAGGCCTCCGCATAAGGCGACGTTTATTTTTTCATTTTCTTTTTTCCTTTAGGCGTAATAAATTAATGATAAAATAAATTAGACTGATATTGAAAATAGATAGTACAGATAATATTAGGATTTTTAGGATATTATTTTAATAATATAAGAAATTATAATTATTATATTTTGATTACAGCTGTTTTTTAATTATTGTTCAGTGATTTTTATATGTGTTTTATATATGTAATTACGTATATGTTTATTTATTTTAATTGCAGAAAAATATAGTGCTATGACTAGGACCTTTCTGTAGCGAAGCAGACTTACTCCCTTTGACTTTTTGGCATTCTACAAAGTAGAAAGTAAAAGTGGAAGTTAAAGTAGAAGTCATCATTTAGAGTGGAGGCCACACATGTTAACGCTTTGGTTCTTTATCATGACCCGTAGGAGGGTGATGGTCTTTCTCTCCCCCCCTGTTTTGTTCTGTAGGCGTTTAGAAGTTAAGGCAGGAGAGATAAAGTTTATTTTTTTAAAAGTTAAATTTTATATAAATTAGACGAATATGCCGAAATTGGTAGCCGGGTGAGTTTTAGGTACTCATGATTATTTTAATTGTAAGAGTTCAAGTCTCTTTATTCGTAATTAATAATACCACCAAATTAATGTACTAAGTTAAATGATTTTAAAAATTTATTAATAACCGCTCAGTTCAACCAAATAAACCTTATGCAGCAGATATGGTTAATACGCTCACTTTGGCTTAGGACCGAAAGAAGGATCCTAGAGCTTAAGAAAAATTTTGTGTGCCGGAGGCAGGCTCCGTAGGTTTTTATCTGCTTTATTAGTAACGTAGTCATAGGTTAGGTAATCTAACTTTTAAAATTTAATTTTTAGTCTCTTACTCTGAAGTTATAGGTACAAAGGCGGCCGTGTTTCACACCTCTCTTTTTGCTAGCGACGTCAGCATTTACTACGGCGTGGTAGGCTCCTTTGGCTTCTTTGTATTTTTTTCTGTCTCCTTCGCTGCCTATGGCTTTTTTTGGAGGCGCGCTTCTCGGGCCTTGCGAAGCTAGGGCTGTGTTAACGAAGGGTAGGATTGAGCAACCCGCTGCTTCGCCTTTGCAGCAGTTTAACTGCTGCAAAAGTTTTTAATGAAAATAAGATTTATTAACTAAATAAGGATGCAAAGAAGAAGGCAATTATTAAATTTTTAAAATAATTTAACATCTTTAGCTAAATTGGTAAAGCGGTTGCCTTCGAAGCAAAAGATTATTGGTTCGACTCCAATAAGATGTTTATCCCTATATTAATATAATATTAAAAAAATTAATATTTTTCTTATATAGTGTAATGCTCATTTTAATTACCGATGCTTGTAAAGTTACGCCACTTTGTACCTTCAAGGTGATTTTAGAAAATGAACGGAGGGTGTTATATAAAGCAGCAGAAAGTAGCAAGTGTTGTTTGGATATTTTTAATTCAAATTTAATATTTGAAACAATCATTATGTCTCCTTTAAGTCAATTTGTATTTATATAAGACTTTTTTTTTTATTTTTAAGTTAAGTGCGGGATACCTGCAAGTGCAAGGCTATTTTTTTTATATAACTATCTCATTTTTTTTTTCGGATATAATATATTTTATATTAAAAACGGAAATATCTATTATTATTATTGATAACTTGCATTATTTACATAATAATAGATATTTTAATATTATTTGTTTTAACTGGTTTTTATGATGTATCATATCTCGGTTTAGATTTTTTTATGGTCAATTTAAAGAAAATAATAGAATTTTATTTTAAATGAAAGTTACATCCCCTAAAGGCCTTTAGGGAGAGGGGTTACTTTGTTTAAAACTTAGTAGTTTGTAGAAAAGCTGTAGCTTAGCGGATTACTTTACATATCTTAGGGATTGTTGCGGATACTACCTAGTCTAAATTTTTTAAAGATGCCGTGTTTCACACTCACTTTGTAGCCGTAGGATTACACTCTTTCCTACACTCCGCGCCCGCACCCTTAGCCGCACCCGCAACAGAGCCCCCACAGAAAAAGCTAGACGTAGAAGACCTGTATGTTAAAAAAAATAGACCTCAGTAAAAGGGTATAATTGACTAACTTAGGTTTAAATTATAATAATAATAAATATTTCTCCTTAGCCCTTTGGTAGGAAGGAGCCTGTTTTGCTTCTAAAAATATACAAAATAAGGGGGTTTAAATTAGCCCTTTGTTTTTACCTCCTTTAGGATTTATCACTCCGGATCATTAGCGCTTTGGCTTCGTTCCTTCAAACTCATAAATTAAAAAAATATATATTTATTTTAAAATGCTGGTGAGCACAGAAAAGATACAATTAAACAGGGGATATAAGATAATTGGTAATCTGTTATATTTGCAATATAAAATTGATAGTTCGAGTCTATCTTTCTCCATTTAATATTCCTAACAAAAAAATTTATACACAGATATTATTATATTAATATTTTAACGAATTATAGTACTAAAATTATTTTTTTTTTCCTACTATATTATCATTACCGAGTAAACTAGTCCTCCTCCCAGCTACGCAGCCTGCTCCACCTCTGGAGGTTTGTTAAACACTGCTGCGTAGCAGGCGGAGCCTGTGGTCCGGCTGCTGCGCAAGGGCTGGTAGTTTAACTTGGGCGGCGGGTTTCTCCTTTGCACTAAGCACGAGGCGGAGAAGAGTATTATCCTTTGATTTTGCTCATTTTTAAAGGGTTTGTGGCGTCACACTGTAGCTTCAATACAAAGAAAAGGTTTTGCAGTCATATAAAAATGTGGCACCCCTTTTGGTAGGAAGGATTAGAAAAAAAAAGGAGATATGTCTTTTCTCAAAAGGGTTCGGAAAGAAAATAAAACGTCCTACTCAAGATAGCAGGTATAGTTATAAATTTAGGAGTATAAAAACCGGGCGGCGAAGCTGCCCAATATAAAGTACCCTGTAAAGATTCAGGGAAAGGTTTCTGTCTTTTATTAATTTGCTTTTTTAAAGCCGTTAGAGTTTTAGGTGTTTGTGCCTATACTGCTGCCAGGTACAATTAGGATGCTTGCGAAGCCAGCGTTGTCGCTTTCTTTTATGAGGTGGGTGCAGTATAGGTAAGTTGAATTGTTACATCCTTATTGTCTAAATATAAAATATAAAAAAAAGGTACTCCACAGGTGTTTCATAAAAGTAAAATTACAAATTTTTTTAGCCTCGGTTGCTTAGTGGTCAAAGCGTTAAACTGAAGCTTTAAATATGGGAGTTCAATTCTCTCCCGGGGCAAAAAATCATTTATCAACTTTATATATTTCATGTCATTCTATCGAAGTTAAAAAAAAGGCTTTTTTAATCAATTGTTTGGTTATTTACTAATGCTCCAACTTCTTTAGAAATGTAGAATAGGTTAATAAGGATATACTTATATAATTATTCTAGCCAAACATTTCATCTTTTAGTAACTAAGTAGTTAACATAATTTAAAGTTTAGGCTGCTTATACCTAGCCTCCTAATTACTTAACACATACCTTGCTAAAAAGGACGCTGCGGTGCTTAGCTAAAGCAAAGTACTATTATCTTTTACTGCATAAGCCGTAATCCATATCCCACTCCTCCGCTGGCCTGCTACGCCGGCCCCCCTCACTATAAATACTCTAGCTATATAAATTACAGCAATCTAAAAGCAGGTAGAAGCCATGAAATAAAGGAGAAAAACTACGTAGAGAGTGGCTCTGCCCTTGTCTTTTATCTTTTTTTTAAGGTATTGAGATGTTTTGGGATACAGGTTATTATATTTTCTAATTTATTTTTTATATTTTAAGAATATAAGTCGAAATAGTTTAATTGGTTAAAACGAATTCCTTGTAAGATTTAAATATTGGTTCAATTCCATTTTTCGGCTACAATTAATCATCTTTGGAGCCGTAGGCTTGTATAAATTAAAAGCAAAGACTCGGTAACCTTGAGGTGACTGCGGAGCGCTAGGGCTTTATAGTAATGGCTAGGGATGATAGACACCTGCTTTAACTGTTTCAGATAAAATTATTTTTATTGAATTGAAAATATGCTTAGTTAAACCAATTATTACCATTACCTTGTATTTTCTATATCATTCTATTACTATCCTGACAGTTTTATAAGTCGCTTTTCACGAACAAAGCCTATAGTTTTAAACTCTACTTAAAAGAGGTTTGCTCCAACCCTTTACCTGTACTGAGGCTTCAAAGCAAAAATTTAAAAATAAATTATTAAAATTGTTTCTTATGGGCTGCAGGTAGATAGTGCAAAGCCTAAAAAAAATATTTATATCGATTTCCTTCCTTTAGCTTTTGAAGAAAGAGTGGTGTTATTATTGATAATCCAGTCCATTATCATTTATTTTTTGCTTCTCCCTTTTTTTTTTTGTGATTTTTTAAAGGCGGAGCAGAAAAACTACTCCCTCCCCAACCGGGAGTAGGGGCGGCGCCGGCGTAGCAGGCGAGAGATAAGGGCGGCTGCGCAGCAGGCAGGGGTTAATATAAAACTTTTTTTAATCATGCAGTAGTAAATAAAATTTAAGTTTAATATGTTTTATCACTCCTATTACCATTAGGTATACCTGTAACTAATTTTGGTTTTGAGAACTTCGATTTTGAGAGCTAGCATTTATTTAATGAGTTGTAGTTTAATTTGGAAAAACACCATTTTTTGGTAATGGCTTATATCAGTTCGAGTCTGGTCAACTCAGTCAATAATAAGGTTTTTTTTTCTTTAGACATTCTATGTTTGCTGCCACTTTAATTATTACATTTGGTATCTGCAATACACATCGACCTATTTCTCTTATTTTTTCCTTCTTAATCAGCTCTAATCCTATGCTCCAACTTCTCCTATCAGATATAGTTAGTTTATGTAGGTAGGGTATGGTTTTTTGGTGTATCATTAGGTTAGGAGCCTTTTTTTTTTTAATAGTATAATCAATAATAAATTAAATTAATTTTTTAAATTAAATTATTAAATAAAAAATGCAGAAGACAGAACTCGAGTGGTTGAGTGTCCCACTTTTAATGGGAAAGTCTTGGTTCAAGTCCATGTGTTTTCAATTAAAAAAAATTTTTTAACATCAGTGTTTCTTCCAGCTCCGCACCGAAGGGAAACTGCTATTCTTCTATTGGGCTCTAAAAGAGCCAAGCCTGAGGCGTGCTCCGCACGCAGTTTTTTTTTTTTTTGATGTATTTTTGATATGCATGGAGGTGGGTTAAGGGAAAGCAGTTATAGATTTATATAATTTGTATTATAGAAATATTTTAAAATTTAAAGGTAATTTATTATTTGTTCTGTAACACGATAACGAAATATTGGTGCTTTAAATCTGATTTATCTATTTAATATAAATTTATTAATAAAAATATGAGAGGAGTATCTAACAAACGCAAGCTTAACTATCAAAGTCACCTTTTATTAATAGCATCCTCCTTCGCTCTGAAATGGTGTATATCTTTTTCATAAGGAAGGCTCCGCACACAAAGGAAGGGTTTGGTAAAGGAAAAAGGGCCCTTATGGCCTTGAGTGCTAAAAAGTTTAATCAGCCACCCTGCTTTGCATATGTCTTTAATTATAATTTTTTTTTTAGTACTGTTACTTTCTAGCCGCTATAGCCTCCATAACCTTGCGACCTCCGGAGGGGGGGCGGCCTTAGGTCAAAAGAATACTTTACCTATATTATAAGCCGTCTTATTATTTTTTCTGCGCCCCGCGCCTGCTTCGACGCTCCACCGCAGGGGTGTTATAAAAGGTACACTACGGTAAGAATCCAGTTTTACCTGCTGCTTTAGTTTAAGAAGATGCTTTAATAGGGATAAACGGTACTGATTTCGTTTACTTATCAGGTTGGATCTTTTGTAGCATAAAGATGTTGATAAACATAACCTTTATAAAATAAAAACCAAAAAAAAAAAGAATTGATACTTACGTAAAACCCTTCTCCTGGTATACTATCGATGATACAGAGTACTCCTCCATTTGGGCCTGTAACATTTATCTACAAAGCCTGCCCTTTAGTCTAAAAACTAAGGCGGAGCCTGATAAAATTTCCTTTTTTAATTTTATTTAAGGTTTTTTAACTTAGACTAACTCAGTAAAAAAAAGGGGGTGTATATGTTGAATCATAACATTTATATGGTAATATTATTATAGAGATGTTTATATTATATATAATTATTATTACTAGGTATCATTAAGTGTTAAATTTAAGACTAAATATTGATAAGGGTAGGTGATCCGATTGGTAATGGTGGTTCTCTGTAAAAGAATTGGTTAATAACCGTACTTGGTTCGATTCCAAGACTACTCACTCAAATAAAAAATAATTTTATAAGCTTTTATTGCTCATCATATGGCTGTTAATGTTAAGATACAGCCTTAACTTCTACACTCTTTTTTTCAAAGAAAAAGGGTTGTATTGCTATGTAATTACCATACTGTAAAAGGAAAAAGCTAAAAAAGGCTGGCTCCCAAATCAAATGCAAGAAAAAGGAGAAAAGAGTGCGTGTTAAACACGCCTTGTTTTCTTCACCTTTAACTTAATTTTAGCTAAGCTTTGCTGGCTAGTCAAGGTCCTAAGGTTAGGATAACAGTCCTTTTTGTTGCGGATACTAGTTAAAGGGAGAGGGCCGCTGCTGCGGAGCCTTTGCAGCCTCCCTAAATGTAAGTTAATGGTTCCTAATTTATTAGGTTACTACCGGGTATGGCTAAGAGTTTAACTTTTTCCTTTGACTTTTTTTTGTAGAAAGAGTATATTAAAGGGCTGGGAAGGAGATGATAGCTGCCTTTTTTTTATAAGTTAAGGTATTGCCAGCCTTAATGCTTTATGCTGCCCCACACTCAGATCCTTTTTTTTAAGTACTTTATCTGGGCGTGTTCCGCTGCTTCGCCTTCGCAGCAGTAGTTTTAAGTTTAAAAATACGCTTTCTTTAATGTAGCAGTGTTAGCCTTGTCTCCTACTAAGGCCGAAGGCTCCGGACCGAATAAACTTTTCTTCACCAATCTTAAGGCAAGGTGTGGCGGAAAAGATTAAATATATAGTATATTTACTATATCTTAGGTGGTTTCTATGCTCTGCAGCTGCAATCATTAGGTCGGTTTGATGCTTCTTAAGTCTTAATTTGGTGAAAAATAAAAAAATATAATCAATTAATAAATTTTTATTGTTTATTAATTGTAAAAGAGTATCAAAATTAAAAGTAATTAATATATTTAAAGACTGTAGCATAATCGGTAATGCAATTCGCTCATAATGGATCTTATTGAGGGTTCGAGTCCCTTCGGTCTTATTGAACTTATAAATACTACAGTGAAAGAAATTTTATATGTATAGCTCTTAGCCCTAAGGCTCGCTAATATGTCATTGCAGTCTTAATATCTTGTATTAAACCTGGTCGGTATTTTCACGTTAATGCACGATCTAGTTTAGTTTAAAGGATATTTGGTTACTAACGTTTTTGCAGACCTGTTTAAAAATAGACATAATTTGCTCCTTACATTATAATATAAACCAGGTAGCCTAAATAGGGTGGTGTGAAACACGCATCCTTGCATAGTATAAGGAGGATAGCTAGTTTTTGACGGTAGTTAAATTAGTTCCCTTTTTTTCCAAATATGGAGGTGTGAAACACGGCATAAGATTTAAGATGCTGCGTTCAAGAAGGGGGAATAGTGTATTGCTATTTACTCAACTTTGTTTCAATTGCCTAGTTAATTAGGAAACTTGTTAGAGTGGTTTAATATAATCGTCTTGAAAACGATTGCTGGATGACCTTCAGCCGTGGGTTCGAATCCCACAGTTTCCGTTTAAATATTTTTTTATTTTTGTGCTCCTTGCCCTGCGCCCTTGTTTTTAAAACACGTTTAACTTTCTATAACTTTGATATTAAGTAATGTGATTATATGGTTTACTATAGCGCATATAAAATTTATACTATCCTCCCTTAAACTAAACTGCTCCTTTGGAGAAGCAGTCTATTCCACAGTAGTAAAAGTTCCGCTTTTTCTGCACAAAGCAGAACTTTAATTTTCAAAATAGCCTAGCTGTGATAGTGTAGTAGAAAGCTTTTTTTTCTGCACTAGTTCCTTGCCTACCCATTAAATCAATTTTTGCCTTTAGGTTGGAGGAGTTTTGAGTTGGAGGAATAGGGAGCCTTCGGTTCGGGAGATGAGGGCAGGGTCTTTAAAAAAGCCCTGTAAGGCCTACGGCGAAAGGAGAAGGAGTGTATTTTCCTATTCCAGGTTTAATCAGGTAATTTAGTAGCACAGTTTAATGATGCATTCCGCAGAGTAATTATTAAATAATTGGATTGGTTAATTATAAGAAGTCATCTTAACCTGGTTAAGACCTAATCTACTTTTAGCAAAACTTAGTTGCTCCGTACTACATTTTCTTCTTAAACCAGCTCTCTTTAATCTTCCTACTATACTGTATTTGGCTGCAATGGATAATTCTATGCTATACTGTAGTAGTGTTAGCTGTAGATTTTTAGTATACTATAGTTACATAAGGGAAAAAGTAGATAAATAGGCTGTAAAAAATCATTTAAAATTTTTATTTTAATAATAGTGTTTTTCCTTCGGCGTGAAGAGTAAAAGTTTAGTCCCTTCGGAGGCGTAAATCTTTTTGTGCGTAGCTTTTTTTGTCTCTCGCTCCGCCTCCGTTTATATATTAGGTAAATTACTATTAAATAAAGATTAGATTTAAAAAAATTAAAAATAAATTTTAAAAAATAAAAGAATAATAATTTTATTAAAAAAAAAATTTAAAAAAATCATATTTTATAAAATAAAAGATAAAAGGAAGAGTAAATTTTGCTAAGCACTATAAGGAAAGCTAGTTCTTCAAAAAAAAAATCAAGAGCAGCTTTACCTAACGATTATAGCATACACAGCCGCTTCGCCGCCAGAGGTATAATATCTCTTCTTTCAGGGAGGCTGTCTATCCTAAAAAAAACTACTCCCCCCCCCCCTACCGGGAGTAGGGCGGCGCCGGCGTAGCAGGCGAGGGAGAGGGTGCTTATTCCTAGAGCCCTAGGCCTGAAAGGGGCAGGGTAGGAGGGGAAAGTGTTTTATGTTTGGTTAAAAATATCTCCCTAATTGGATCTAGATAAAATAGGTGTTTTTGGTGCAGGCCCCTACGGTTAATAATAAGGGAATGGAAAGATGTTATAAGAATAAGATACAATAAAAAATAATGGTGGTAGAATACCAACTGGATGGTTACTCCTTTTGGGTGGGAGAGTTAGCGTGTTCAAGTCGCGCCTACCACGCTGTAGCATAATTAATTATATTTAAATAAAATAAAAACATTTTACTCTATTTATAATAAAATATATTTAGTATTGTAATTTAATACTATAAAATAAATTGTTATACTCCACCACTAGCTGAGTACAAAGAAGCCTCTCCCTCGCCTGCTACGCCGGCGCCGCCCTACTACTCCCGGTAGGGGGGGGGGGGAGTTTATTATCTTTTTTATTTAAAGATGCGTTTTCGATATTAAAAAGAAAAGTTTACTCCGCAGGCCTGCTTGGCTTAGGTACTTACCATTATATAAGGTTTATTACTTTTAGGAGGAAATACACTTCAATCTTTATATAGTATAGGCTTTAATACCTAGGCCCTAAAAATATCACCTCTTCTCCGTCTTCCAGACTAAATGGAGCTGCAAAGGTTATCTCTCCTTTACTACGGCAGGTAAACATTAGATCATTCACTATGCATAGTGCGCTACGTAGGCTAGTGGGCTCCGCACTACCGCTTCTTATTTAAGAAACTGAGGTGATGTAGCATTATGATAAGGCTTTTTCTAAGCTTTTTGCGTGTGAAACACGCCTCCTTTAGGAATATAAACACCTTTTTTGCTTTGCCTTCACCTTTATTCCTCCCCTGTAGGCTGCGCTATGCAGCGTCGCTCACTTTAGGAAACCTCCTATAAGGATCCTACCTTTAGGCTTAAAGGCCTTTAGGGATGGTGGAGGGGAGGCATAGCTCCTTAATTTTTTTTTTCACAGTGCGTAGCCTCCTTCGCTGTTGTTTATCTTTTTTATTACATAACCGGGTCTCATTTAGTCCGTACTATCACATAAAACAGGATTAATAAAGACTGGTCATATTAAAGGTAGTCGGTTTAAATAAATTTTTTAATGCGCCACAACCTCTTTAGATTTATAAAAGAGAAAGGCCTTTCAATTATAAATGGTTATAAGGAGCTATCCTTTATAGTTATGTAGTGCAGCCTGTTGCTACTTTTTGGCTGTTAGTAACTGCTCCAAAAAAAAAGGGTGTTATCCGAAAGGCAGCTTCGCAGAGGCGGGATGATATTGCTAAAATTAATTTTTTTTTTGTTATGGGCATTTTTAAGATTAGTTGAGGCTACCGGGTAATTATAAATATTAAGGTTCTATGGCTGAGCGGTTTAAGCGAAGTACTGTTAATACTTTTTACAGAGGTTCGAGTCCTCTTAGGGCCTTTAATTAATAATAAAATACTTATTCGCCCCCTGCTGCGGAGGTGGAGCAGGCGAAGCTAGGGAGAGGGGGATATGATTAGATGTTGTTGTCTTCGAAATGGCCTAAGCTTTTTAAGGCAGCGTAGCCTTCGAATTGGCTATTATCTATAGTGATGTTGCTTTAGTTTACCTTCATTTCACTTTTATTAATTATAAATAATCAAAATTATTTTTAAAAGAAGTAGATGTTAGATTTATAATTAAAGGTTAGAAAAAAGGTAGACACCTTCCCTTTTGGTCTGGAATTTGGAAGGCGGAAGCCGAAAAATTGTATATAAAAGAAGGATATTTTAAAAAGGGACACTGTTTCACCTCAACGGTTCTTTTGATATTTAGGATAGGATAAAAGAAGTTTAAAAAAAACCTTTGGCCGCCTTTCATCGTTACTACACACCTTTCTACTTCTTTGACTCCTTCGCAGGAGGTATATAAAATTAATTTAAAAGTTATTATTAAATATAAATACTCTCCTGCCTCCAGACATTATTTCTATAAAGGCGGAGCACTTCCCCCCCCCCCTGTAGGGCCTATATTAGCATCTCCAAACCACAGGCCCCGGATGTGGGCTGCTTCGCCTCCGATTAAGGTAAGGTCTCCTTACATTACTTGAGAGTGTAAACTTTTTTTTTTTCTTCGCTGCAGCCGAGTTTTTTAATTATTTTTAACCGTTTATATCTAAGCGCATCATTACGTTTTTACTTTATGAGTAGCAGATATTATACTTTACAATTCGATACACTTTATGGTGGGTGGTATTATGGTTAAATTATTAAAAATTAATTTATGTATATTGGTTATTTTCTTATTGATCACAAATTTTACGAACATGTTGAAATTGGTAAACAATCTCCTCTTAAGCAGGAGTGGAAGTGATTCCTTAAGAGTTCGAGTCTCTTTGTTCGTAATTATAATTATAAAAGTACTGCTTATTTTATCTCCCTAAAAGCCACAGGCCTCGGATGTGGGCTGCTTCGCCGTAGTATAAATGTTTTCTTTTTAATTAGCAACCTGCTTTATAGAGTCGGTACTTCTACAAAATACTCCTTAAGCTTCGGAAACCTACTCTAGCACCGCTAGGAGAGGCTTTTAACTCTCTGTTCAATCACAGCTTGGTAGATTTTACAAAGGCTGCGTGTTTCACACGCATCAGCGGAGGGTTAAGTTGTTCTGCATCAAAGCATAAAATGCAAATGTACAAATATAAATTAAATTGAAAAGAGGATTGTTAAAATCCGTATGGCAAGGTAGTAGCGCTTTGGTTAAACTTAGGTAGTCTCCGGTAGCGTCTACTTTTAAGGTTGGGCTGCGCTACGCGCTACGCAGCGCTGGTGCCCTTTTATTATTTAAACCTTCTTATAGGCGAGATGGTGTAATGGTACAGCACGAAAGTCTCATTAGCTTTAGGTTTAGGTTCAAGTCCTGATCTCGTTAATATAATAATTTTTATTTTTTCCTGTTTTATTCTAATTCTCTCCCTTCGGAGTAGTTTTTTTAATAATGTTGTAACACCCACCCTTGCGCAGCAGCCAAAGGGCTCACAGCAACCGGAGCAGGGGCAGGGTGGGGAGGGAAGATATAAAATTAAAAGTTTGCAGTCTTAAGCTTGGAAGCTGGCAGGCGCATCCTTATCTTGAGGCTTGTGCTGTGACCTATTGGATTATTACGCTTTATTTAGAGTATACGAAAGGCTCCTTTAGCATTCTCCGTATAAGTTTTTTTACTAGTCATAATAAATGACCTTTGCTTTATTGACAACACAGCAGTATACTCCTTTAACATTTTCTTTGAAGTCGAAGAGTTTGTGGTTCTATGGTCCTTCGACACCTACGGTAATTGATAACTCTTTTCTTTAATTTTAATTAAACTTTAGCCTTTATGGTCCTTTTGTTTGGTATTGATACAGGTTGATTATGTAATAAAAAATATACTATGCAGTACTGGATGCGATTTAAAAAGATTAATTTATATGCTCTTTTATATTATCATTTATCACTGTGGATTAAGAAGGAGGCTTTAGCTAATGTAGAATCATTTGGCTGAGGATCCTAGAGTCCTAGGGTAGGTGTTTTCTTCATTAACTCCGGTCCATTTGGCTGCGTAGTGCATATATCCCCCGCCTCATAAAACTGGTAGGGAGGGCTTCTATTTTTATTACTCCTTTTTATAGTAGGCATTCTTATAAGGTACAGGTGATAGTATTTTATAGATAAATTTAAATCTAAAAGGTCCTTTAGTATAGTGGTTCGTACAGTTTTCCTTCACAAAACTAGCATCAGTTCAATTCTGATAAGGATCATTAAATTTTTATAGTAAAAGACGATTTCTCCCCCTCCCCAAAAAAAAAGGCAGCATATCTTCTACGAAGTAATTTGTAGTGGAGTCCTTCGCTGATGCTAAAAAACCCTCACTTCTCTTTACGGTGCTTTAACGAAGGCCGGAGGAGGGATGTTATCAAGGAAACACAAATAGAGTGGCGATAAGCAAACCTTACGATTATAAAAGAGTGTTAAGGCTACTTAGTTATAGTTTTACCAATAGATAGCAGGATACTCCTCTATTTCATATCGAAAACTTACACCTGCCGACCTTCGGTTAAAAGAGAGAGAGAGAGGGTGCTTAGCAAAATGGACAGTGTGCTTCAGCAACTGCTCCTTCAAGGAATAAAATTAAAGGTTGAGCGCGCCTCCAAAAAAAAAACAGGGGGGGGAGGGGAGGAGGGGTTAAAATTTATTAAAAAAATTAAATTTTTAAGTTCTATAGGGTTGGTTTTCATAGGTAAGTTAAGGCAATTGCTAATTGTTCGGGTTAATAGCCCTTAGGTGTTCGACTCACCTTCAACCCGTTAAAATATTTTATTATTAAAATTAAATTGAGATTATGTTATAATTAAAAATATAAATTCAAATGTTCCACATTGTTCATGTCGTCACATTTCTTCCTCCATAGTTTCCTTCCAATACTTAAATAAGTTTATTAGTTTGGCTTTGGTTACTGTATAGGGGTCATATGCTTCGATTTCTGATGTGACTTGTGCGAGACTGGCAGTGAGAATGGTGGAGTAATCCTTTGTGTATGCGGCCATTTCTCCAATTCAAATGTTCCACATTGTTCATGTCGTCACATTTCTTCCTCCATAGTTTCCTTCCAATACTTCCAATCTGGTCATCGTTTGGCTTTGGTTACTGTATAGGGGTCATATGCTTCGATTTCTGATGTGACTTGTGCGAGACTGGCAGTGAGAATGGTGGAGTAATCCTTTGTGTATGCGGCCATTTCTCTGAGTTTGGCTGCAGGTTTTCTGCTCCTCCTGCTTGTGACAATTTTTGGGTCAACTGGTTCTCCAATTTCAACTGGTGTGGGTTCTCCAATTTCGGTTGGCTGATCCAACTCAGGGACTTTGTTCTCCAAATTGATGGCAACATCATGATCCTTGTCCTCACTGAGTTGGGTCTGCTGTTTGGAAAATGTGATATTTCGTTTGACTGTAATGGTCCATTGTTTGGGCCAATAGATATTATAGCCTTGTGACTCTTTCTCTGGTCCAAGCCAACATCCTTCTGTAGCTTGTTCCGATAGTTTGTCAGGTCAAACTTCTTGTTTAACAAAAACAATAGAGCCGAATGGATGTAGATCTGATATGTCAGGGGTGTGACCAAATCGTTTCTCAAAAGGGGTTTTCATTCCTATGGTTTTGTGTGGAGTTTGGTTCCAAATATAAACAGCGTACATCATGGCCATTCCCCATAGTCATTTTGGTAAGCCTGATGCAATAAGCATAGCTCAAACCATGTTGAGCAAGGATCTGTGGCTGCATTCTGCAGTACCATTTTCCTCTGGTGTGTCATGAACTGTGAGGATACGATCTGTTCCTTTTCCTTCCAAGAACTGCAAGAAATCTCCTCCTAGGTATTCTCCTCCTCGATCTGAGTGTAGAACCTTTATAATGATACCATGTTGGGTTTCAAGGTTGGTTTGGAATATGATGTATTTTGGAAATGCCTCATCTTTAGTGTGCAGTAGAGGTTGCTCCAGCCAGTATGTGGCGTCATCAAGCAATGTGAGTGCATACTCATTACAATGAATGGTTTTGACAGATGCTGGCCCCCATATATCAGTGTGCATCTTGTCTCCAAAATTCTTTGCACGTTCAGATTGGCATTGTTTGGGAACTGGGAGTCTAGAAGCTTTCGCTTGCATGCATACAGCACATTCAGTTTCCTCCATTTGGTTTCTGTTCAACCTAATGCCCTGGATAGATTTTGCTTTAAAAGCATCCTTCAAATAACTGTAATTGATGTGTCCTAGGGCGCAATGTGCTTCATAAAGGGATAGGGTGCAGTCAGTAGCTGCATAAGCATGTTCATGTGGGATAATTTGATAAAGCCCATTAACCTTCGGAATACATGCAACATTCCTTCCTTGACCATTTGAGATGTTCATCTGGCCTTGTTCGATATGAATAACATATCCAGCATCATCCAGTTTTCCAATGGAAACAAGTGTGTTCGGCATGCCTGGGATATGCAATGTGTTATGCAATGGAAAGAAATGGGGTCGTTCTGATGAATCATGTGTTTCAATGTGGAGCATGCCTTTTCCATTAGAAGAGAAAGTGTCGGCATTGGCACCTTTGATGGTACGGGGTGGAATTTCTTTGTAGTGCTTCAGTTCCTTGCGAAGTGGTGTCATGTGAGAAGTAGCTCCTGTGTCAAACAGGATTGGAGTCTGTTGTTCAGATGCTATGAATGCTGCTTCTGCAATTTCTGAGCAGCGGTTGGACATATGACCAACTCCTCCACAATTATAACATTTCACCTCTTCATTGGACTTGTTGTTGTGACCTTGGTAGTTCCCTTTTCCTCCTCGGCCTCTTCCTCGTCCTCTGAAATTTCCTTTTCCTCTGCCTCTGCCTCTTCCTCCTCTGAAGTTGTCATTAGAGTAATTGGCAGAGTCCTTGGGTTTGTGATTGTTGCTAGATCCTTCTGCATCAGCACAAATGGATGAAATAAGCATGCCTGCAGTGAGCTTGTTTGGCTCATCTCGATAGTATATGGTAAGGGAGGTGATGATGGGTTTAAATTGATCTGAAACTGATGCGATAACAGCATTTTTGAATCATGCATCAACTATATCCACTCCTCGGTTGGATAGTTCATCCTGAATTTCAACAAGCATATCAAGGTGCTCATTGATCTTCGCAGGATTGTGGCATCTAAGGCTAAACAGTTTGCCTTCCAGGTATGCCTGTGTAAGAGGGTTCTTGGCATCAAAATCTGTCTTCAATGCATCCCAAAGCTCCTTTGATGTTTTCTTCGACTTGTATCTTTGGAAGATCTTGTCAGGTAATGCTCCAATTATGTCATTCAACAAATCTTTATCCTCCTTCTCTTCATCTCCTGTCCCAGCTGCAGTTAGGTATTTGTCATACCCGAGAGAACTAGCGGCTCTTTCAACACGCGTTTCCCAAGTTAACCAATTAGAACCATCCTCCTTCAAGGTAGTAACCTTGTCAAATGCTTTGGTAGCTTTAGACATGTCGTTGTCACTATCTGAGTCTGAATCCAGTGATTCTGAATCTGATGAGTGATCTGAGGGATCTGGTGGAGGTGGTGGTGTTTGATGTCTAGATGGGTGTTCACTAGGTACTGGATCTTCGTATTCTAGATCTGGTTCCTCTTTTTCTTCAGCAAATGCAGGTTGTTCACCAGTAGGCGAAACGGATAGATCAACAACAGATGACGTAGATTGTTGTGGCTGCTGTGGCTGAGGTGTTTCAAGCGGTGGAAAAGTGAGTGGGAAGGTGAGTGGAGTTCTGGGAGGTGTTTCTATATGTCTCTGATGAGTTCTGATCGCCTCTTCCTGGCTTTCAGTGATAGAGAGTGCCCAGTTGTTTCCTCTTGTGGGATCTAATAGAGGTGGATCGTATCGATTTGGGCAAGGACTAGATCTGCAAGCTTTAAAGTTTGTACCTCCTGCTGGATCTGCGTAATAGTCAATCCACTCGGTGTGATCAAATAAGTGAGATCTCTGATAACAAGGGAGAGTATTACAATGTGGTTGAGCTGTAGAAACAGGTGGTGTGAACAGTTGTTGTTGCAAAGGGCTGCCTCTCCTGGATAAGGCTTGGCTAGGTGAAGGTATACAGGATTGGGGATGTGATGTAGGTCTGGATGAAGGCCTGGATCCTGATCGCGATCTGATGATGTTTTCAGGGTTGTCAACTGGGGGTACTGGGATTCCGTGTCTGCAACTGGTTCGGTCAGAACTGGTCATACAACGTCGAGAGCAAGACGATAAGCAAACGATATAAGGTTAGAGCTCGGGGCCCATAACCTATTAGATTTAACAGGAGTTAAGGACACTTGAACACAAGTGAAATGAGACAACGGATACAATTGAGGCTCTGGTATGACAGTACAACACTACCTAGT